CAGCCAAACTCTAGCAGACTGAACACGCGAGCCACACTAAGTGACACTAAGTGACAACAACTCACGTCACAATGAACTATGCTCCACTATACATGGAAGCCATGCCCTTTTCCTAACCCGATCAGTACGTACATACATACGTAGGTAAATGCACATCAATCCATCCAGCCCGCCAGCCAGCCATCCACACATACATCTGAACCTAGATTTAGAGGTGTGTACGTACATAGATACATACATGCAGCCACACCTACGTTCGTAAGTATGTATTGCGACGATTTGTTAATATCTGAGATGTACACATGTAACGTCATGTGCCGCAATTGTGTAAACAGAAATGCCGCGTAATTTTAGCATTCAGCATGCATGCATGAGTTGCATACCTATGATGTCAATGCATGCAGGGCCGCACTAAACCATGATGTTCCACCCAAACAAAACACACACACACACACACACAGGGACACACACACAGACAAACACACACACACACAGACACACACACACACAAACACACACACACACACACACATACACATACACACACACACACACGCACACACGAGAAACAACACATGAAATGTGAACCGTCGCAATGCAGGACCCTCCTCGCATGTTGCTCCACTGAGCTCCAGGCTGGCAGCAAAAGGCAAATATCGAGAGCGACAGCATCTTGAAGCAACCTCTATTGCAAGAGCAGCTCGTCTCACAGGCTGTTGCTTGGCAAAGAGCATTATTCTGAAATCAGCCATCATGCTGGCACACCCAAAGCGCAATTGACAGGTTTCAGTAGTGCCGGCACTGAAACTGCACCACTCTCGCAACCGCGAACTTTACTCAGGCCGAAGAAGAAACCACGGTCAACCTTTGGTTCAATCGTCACATGAAAATACCACGCAGAAACCCGCTGCCTGTGATGCCACCCTTGGGACTCAAAGCAGCGAAGCTGTCTGAAGCAGTCAGCCTGGCGCACGGGTCAGATGTTTTAACGGCACTTTATTTCGAAGACGGCCCTGTGCACGACCAATGCAGAATCCAAACGACCACTCAAACCGATCTGCCTAACACCCCGGAACAAAATACATAAAGCGCCACGCAGTACAGCTCAGGGAGCATTGCCCGCACAACCAACGATCAGAAAGGATTCGGGGCTTTCAAGTTCACTGATAATATGCATGAGTTGCGAGAATGATCTGTCTATTCGCACCGCTGGCATGTCGAAAGCAAGTGACACTAAGTGAAGTCTACGAAGGTTGCTAGCTTCATTCATGGGAGGTTCAGAAAATTAGGGTACCTTATTTTGGGGTCCTTATAATAGGGATCCTATTATTTAGGATACTATATTAGGGTCCTGTATTTTCGGAAACCCCCTCATGCTACCAGCATGATGAATGCAAAACTACGACGAAGGTTAACAGCACCGCAGATGTTACGAGCTTTCTTGAGGAGAAGGTCGAGGCTGCATGAGCTTGCTTCTCTGTTTGTCCACTTGGAGAATACTTTATGGTTTAGGGGTTCAGGGTTTAGGGGCTCCGTGCTCTAGGTTTTTTGTGATTCATACAAGACTTCCCCTCATGGGGTTGGCGGTAGGTCCGTCTTCATCTAGGCGACAGCGAGCAAATGGAGGTCCGCTTTCTAAGGTTTGCAAAGCCAAGCACCTATGGTTGATTTACAAGAGGTTGTGTTAAGAAGGCCTTCACATGACATGGATGACCCAAGACCAGACACTGTTGAAAGGCAAGCTGCGTTGGGCTTATGCTCTGCTTCGCAAACACGTAGAGGACGACCAGGATGAGGTACCTTGCGCGACCATCGGCTGAACCCGTGGTAGCCAAATATGTCGACTGTTAGCGGTAATTACTATAGCAATTCAGAACTCATGGTACACCCGAATTCAGAGAGCCCCAAATTTGTAATTGAGGAATATACCTCATTTTAAGGGAGGGCCTTACCATTCAACGTATATTCCCTGATTCAGGGGTACTGGGCTCTCTGGGAACGCGAACTCAACTCCACTTCTGAGGACAACCAGTGACCTCACCCTACCAAGATGCCGATAATGTAGGGCAATGTAGGGGCCTTAATACTTAGAATAGGGTTTTGGGGCCCATCATACTATAAATATAGCAAACACCCCCCGAAATTTAGGCCCCGACATTACGCCAAACGAGCAAGCAAAACCATCAATCAGGCATCCAAAGAACTACATACCATATCAGGGCAATCTCAGAGATCCAGTTCTTTCCCTTCCTTCTATTTCTAGAAACTCTGATCCCAGACCTTTTAGATCCGTCATGAATGCAGGAAAGCGGCAGGATACAAGTAACACCAGCAAGAGAGGCGAAACGAAGATCGTTTATACCTTAGTGCACCACATCCGCCTGCTATGCAATGGGCTCCATGCAATCACTCTGGCTGCTCAACTCAAAATGTCCCCGCATGATCTCCTGACTCCTTTGAATTGTGCGACAGACCCAGATTCTTCATTTCACCAGGGCACTGTCAAGCAGCGACAGGGGAAGGAGCACGAGCGCAGTAGTCCAGAGCAGCACGGTGTTCGACTGCGTCAAGGAACCTGATCTGCATCATGCTTATTATTACCAGTAGTATTATTGTTATTCTGATCATTTTGAATAAAACGATGCATCACTGTTATAACGATCATTAACTTTACCCGATTGTTAGTATTTGTTTTGCTATAGTAGTACAAGTAGCTGTATGCCGAATTCAGAGACTTGCTGCGATCGCCAAGTTTAAGGGGATATTTCGCTTTCCGATGTGCGTCATTTGGCGTATAGGACGTCCCGTTCGGTGCAGCAGTGGGGGCGGAGCATCTTCAACCATGTGGTCCTGCCTCATCTAGATGCTCTGGGAGTGTGATGATTTTCGCAGACTCTTCGATGGTGCCTGCTTTGGTGATGGTCATCGCGAACGCTGAAACTGAAATTTGCCTCTGCAATCCCGAATCCTCAACCTCAAACCCTAAACCATATACCCGAAACCTTCAATCTAGGCACCCGAGAATCCCATGCCTGAAACCAACCCCGGTGCGAGGAGGGGGCTGAGCCATGACCCGGGTGGGGCATCGCCGAAGGCCGCGTCGAGCACCTGCAGGGCTTCACGGCTGCCAGGCTTTCGGCTTCTAACAGAGTTCTAGATGTAGGGTTCCCTTAAGGGTCGCTCTCAGGGCTGCTATAACGGCTCAGAATGAGGGCCCAAATAATCAGAAATGGGCCTGAGGGTGTATTGTAGCACTACGATTACATCAAGGAGGCCCTCAGGAATAATTAGGATCGGTCGTGGTTCAGGTTTCTGTGGGTGGGCTGCAAGGTTTAAAGCTTTTTGGGCTGAGGTCTTCTGGCTTCAGGAGCTTAAGGTCTCTTTAAGCTTTCCCCCCTGCTTTCGGGCTTAGGGGGATTCGGGGTATTAGGGTTTAGGGTCTTAGGGTCTTAGGGTCTTAGGGTTTAGGGCCGAAGGGCTTTAGGACCGAAGGGCTTTAGGGTTTAGGGTATCAGGGTTTAGGGTATTAGGGTTTAGGACTTTAGGGTTTGGGGTTTAGGGCTTAGATACAATGGTATTATAGTCTACGGTGTATGAAGCCCTCCGAAACAGTCCCTCTTAGCAGCTGCTGATTGCAGCCGCCTCTCCGAACTCCCTCCCTGACCCACGCTTTAGGGTTTAGGGTTTCTGCTTTAGGGGTTTAGGGTTTAGGGAACCCTACAAGAATTTCTGTGTAACCCACACAGAGAAACGGCTGGTCCCCCATCCCAATGGCCTGATGAGAAACCTGGCCCACGGTGATCATGTAGGCAACGGCGGTGCCAAAGCAGAATAAAACGATGTTAACCTGCCACGGCTTAGGGCTTAGGGCTGATATAGGATATAGGCCCGGGAGAAGCAGGTCCTCCTAAACCCTGAACCCTATACCCCTATATGATATAGGGGTATCATTCCGAACCCTTATCCCCTTTCAAAGGGCAAAACAGCCGCTTTGAAAACAGGACCCTTCTGGTGTGGTCCGTACTGGGCTCTATGCAAGTTCCGCTACGCATCTGCATACTTCAAGCGCCTGTACTTCAATGAATCTGCATTCTTCTGCCACTTCTGCCCGGCCTCGACCAACAAAGCAAACCACGGTCCTCGATCCGCTTAGGGTTTAGGGTTTAGGGTTTAGGGAGTTTAGGGTTTGGGGTTTCGGGATTAGGGTTTGGGGCCCTTCGAGGTGAGGGAGTTGCACAAACATGGCTTGGAGTGTTCTTCCAACTAGGTCCCAGGTGTGGTTGTTGTCCTCTAGGGTCTACAGTCGGGTCCCGTGTGTTCTGACCTTCTCGATACGACGGCCTAAATGCTGAGACCCCGGTTTGGGCATCCTCTAATGTACTACATGTCTGTATGCCTGGGAACCCC